CATTTGTTAACCTAACTTCATAGCTGATATGTTCCATTCCTTTTATTAATTTTGTAGCCCGCCTCTGCACTTTTTCTAGTGCCATAATATCCTTCTTTAGAACAGGTGCCAAAAATTGCACAGCATATTCAATATGTGGTCTTACCAGTGATTTATAAAGAGGCAAAATGATATTCTCGTCCCAAGAATAATTGCCCTTTTTCATGCATGACAATACCTTACTGGCCTTGGCCCCTGCTGATTGACATTGCACATTGTTGCATAGTTTGTTGTCTATAACAATTCGCAAGTCCTTTTCGTGTGTTGTTATCCCTTATTCGCTTCCATTAAGGGTATACGTTGCTTGTGTATTCTTTACGCCGAAGTGCATAACTTTGCATTTTTCAACATTAAATTTCATCTGTCATTTGAGTGCCTAGACCCCAGTCTATCTAAATCCCTCTGTAGCAAAGTAATATCTTGCTCACATTGTATTATTTTACAAAGTTTTCTGCCATCTGCAAACACTGAAACATGACTTTCAATGCTGTCTTCAAGATCATTTATAAACATGTTAAATAGAAGGGGTCCCAGAACAAACCCCTGAGGGACATCACTTGCCACCTCTGTCCAGCTTGAAAATTTACCATTAATAACAACTCTTTGTACTCTGTTTTTAAGCCAATGTTATAGCCAAGAACAAGCATTTTCATCTAGACCGATTTCCTTGAGTTTGAACACTTATATATTGTGTGGAACTGTATCAAATGCCTTGGCAAAATCCAAATAGATCACATCCACTGCAACACCCTGATCTATACTTCTACTTACTTCTTCGTAGAACGCAATCAAGTTAGTCTGACATGACCTATGCTTCATAAAACCATGCAGATTTTTGCTGATAAACATGTTCTTCTCAAGGAATTCTTGAATATTATCCCTTAATAACCTTTCAAATATTTTACCAGCCACAGAAGTTGAAGGACCACTATCGTGCCAGGAAAACATACTTGTTTTCCTGGCACTATAGTGCACTGAGGGTGCACCCACCCTCAGGACCCCCTCCCGCCGGGCTCTGGGGAGAGGAAGGGGTTAAAATCTTACCTCTCTCCAGCGCCGGGCGGGGAGCTCTTCTCCTCCTTTTCGCCTCCTCTCCTCCTCTTTGGCTGAATGCGCATGCGTGGCAGGAGCTACGCACACATTCTGACAGTCTCATAGGAAAGCATTCATAATGCTTTCCTATGGACGCTTGCATCTTCTCACTGTGATTTTCACAGTGAGAAGCACGCAAACGCCTCTAGCGGCTGTCAATGAGACAGCCACTAGAGGCTTTAGAGGCTGGATTAACCTATTTATAAACATAGCAGTTTCTCTGAAACTTCTATGTTTATAAAAAAAATGGGTTAACCCTAGCTGGACCTGGCACCCAGACCACTTAATTAAGCTGAAGTGGTCTGAGTGCCTAGAGTGGCCCTTTAAGCTCACAGGTCTATAATTTCCAGACAAGAATTTTGAACCCTTTTTGAATATAGGAAACACATCTGCCTTCCTCCAATCCTCCGGAACACTTCCTGAAAGAAAAGAATCTTGAAAGATTAAAAACAGAGGTTCACTTATTTCTACACTTAGTTCCTTAAGTACAAGTGGATGGATACCGTCAGGCCCTGGAGTTTTGTTTATATTAACTTTCTTTAGTTGCTGCAGCACCTTGTCTTGAGTTAAAAATTATTCTGCAAGTTTTTAGTAGCAATTATTTGCACATCTATTGCCATGGGTTCTTCCTTAATATATATGGAGGAGAAATAGTTATTTAAAATTCCTGCCTTTTCCTGGTCTTCATTAACTAACACCCCCATTTCAGTTTTTAGTGTACCTACACTTTCATTTTTGTTTTTTTTAGAATGTATGTACTTAAAAAATGCTTTGGGGTTGGGTTTGCTCTCTTTAGCTATCATTTTTTAATTTTGAAGTTTAGCAAGTCTAATTGCCTTTTTGCACGCATTATTTGCTTCCTTATATCTTTTATAAGATGCATCTGATTTGTCCGATTTAAATGATTTAAATTCCCTTTTCTTATTTTTAATCTCTTGTTTTACTTCTCTACTAAACCACATTGGTTTTAATTTGTTTCTTTTATATTTATTTCCCAATGGTACATACTGAGAAATGTACCTTTCTAATATTTGTTGGAAGATGATCCATTTATCCTCAGTGTTCTTTTCACTAAAGAGTTTATGCCAGTCAATATATTGTAAAGCTTCCCTTAACTTATTGAAATTGGCCTTTATAAAATTATATGTTTTAGTATACCCCATGTGCTTTTGTTTTTTTGAGTTTATTTCAAAGGACACTATATTGTGATCACTATTTCCCAAGTGCTCACCTACTTGAATGTTGGTCAAAAGATCAACCATCTCCCTTAATTAAAACTCTTGGCTACCCTTACTTTATTTTTCCAAATTCTCCTATATGCTACAACGGATAGTAAAATACACACAATCAGTAATTAAAAAAAAAACATAATAGCTTGTTTTATGAATTGTTACTCAGGATATATTAGATGAGTTTTAGTTCGTTCATCTATGATTAAAGCAACAAACTTGTAATTTCTTACAATGATAGGCCAAAATATGTTCTGGATTTGCTATGTCTCTAGTGAGGAGTGGACTTTTGATTCTGGATCGCTTTTGTGAGCAAGTAAATAATAATAAGCAAATGTTAAATTAGTTTGAAATCTCTTAAGTACTAAATGTTTGTCCCTTGTTATGGGTGTCTCTTTATCCTGATGCTTTTAGAAATAATTTGAAGTTTGTAATATAAAACAGCAGATATTTTTGTAATTTTTGAAAATTATATATATATTTACTCATGCAAAATCAAGTTTCTTTACTAAAGTTTCGTTTTTAAATTTAGGAAGTGACAGATTGCAAATAAACTCACTAATAAAAAAGAACTAGTTGTGGAACATCCTCCCAACTGGCATGCATAAAAGAAAGAAAATAAGAAGAAAATGTATGATAGATCCCAACCAGTGAACGTCACCTTTTCTTCTACTGTCTGAAACAAACAGTTCTAAAATCCAATATTAACCAGGAGGGACCTATTCTGACATTTCACCCTACTCTAATTCAACCATTCTATGTACAGAGAGCTAAATATGATAACTAAGGAGACAATGACAAAAAGAGCACCTACAAAAATATTCAGTTATGCTTGACTGGATAATCATTCATGACACTTGACTGCATCTTGATGTTTATGAAACTACTCTTGATTTTTTTATTTTTTTTTAAGAAATGTTTGTCAACACGAACATCCAGTAATATGAGAAAACCATTTAGGGAACTTTGCATGGAAGGATGTTTTTGATCATGTACTAAATAATCATCAGTCTAAATGAATCAATGAGATGATTGCTCACAGGTGACATACTTCACAATGTGAACAGTTGTAAAAAACATTATGGATGAAGGTATCTGTTACGGTTACTCCCAGGCTAGCTGGAAGCTGGACAGCTTGGATAGTCTGGATTCCGATGTAGAGAGAGAGAGGAGCCACTTCTGCTATTAGACCCTAGGAATCCTGTAAGTGTAGAACAATCCCACTAGCTATGGTACAGCTAGGATACCTTTTTCCCCACAAAACGAGTCGAGGCTGCGATTTGTAGATCAAGAAAGAACTGGCTTTAATGGCACACCGGTATCAATATTTTTGCAAAATCTCAGGTCCAGGGACAGCCCCCTCTAGACCTGATGGGATACAGGGACAATACAAGTGATTAACCAATAAGAATTGGAGATAATGAATCCAACGGTCATGACAATGCAATTATCTCCAAGCGCCCAAAATACCATGTTTCTTGCCACATAAAAAACAGGATAAAAATACATAACTTTAACAGTTTCATATATAATTTATGCATTCTACCATTCATTATGTAGCCCCGGTCTGAGCGAAACAGTTAACCAAAAAGCGCTCAGAACCCACGAATTGTACGCTTAGTTTCCTCATTATAAAGTCTGTTCGTGTCTTTGGTCCCGGGCTTGAGAAGGCAGCCATGTTTTTAAGTGCAAATGTGTAAAGTCTGGTCTGCCTAATGCAACACACAGAGATGAGGGAGTCTGACTTTAGGTGAATTGCTCAAAACTGAACCAAGACAGGGATACACCCAAAACCTGACTAGAGATATAGAGGACAGTAATACCTTAATTCAAGGTAGTGTCTTCAGGAGCTAATTCACTTTTAAATGGCTTATTCAATGGAACTAAATATATGGTTATATCGAAATCTGGAACAGTGGATGATTACCAATGTGTATAATATGTGTGGTATGTAGACCTTTAAATCTGCTAAAGGCAGATTCTATCTGTTACACACCAAATAATCTGCTTAATGGAAAGCAACTATTTACTACAGGACAACAACATGAAAAGTAGTTGTCTGTTTGGTATTATTGTATACACAGTTATACAAAAGGTAATGTATATCTCTTTAAATCTGCTAACAGCAGACTAAATAGTGCAAATCAAGAGATATATGGATTTCTTATTCACACTTCTTAGTACTGTATTGAAATCACTTAAAATATGGATTAGAAGATGAGATTCCAAAAAAACACTATTCAAAAAATTTAAATATTTAAAAAATGATATAAGAATTTATTCATAGTATATTAAAAAACATGTATAAAAAATATTGTAAGTAAAAAATATAATGCAAGTAAAAAAATGATAAAATGAAAGCCAGGAACGATTAACAAGTATATTGCGAGCAGAATGATTGTCCTTTTAACATAATACCCGCTGGGACCGCTTAGGATTACAGTGGATACTTTGTATCAAAGAGAAATTGCTGTACTTGCCGGCTGTCTGTGAGGTTGGCGTGCGTCCCAAACCTCACTATGGATGGTAGATACTGACAGTCCATCGGTCCCCAGATCGTAGATGCTGTGCGGGGAAAAGAGGAGTTCCTTCTGCCGGCTCCAAACTGTGTTCGTACCCTGCTCACTGCTTGTCTTGCGCGTTTCGTGGGTGTCAGCCCCACTTCATCAGAGACATAATCATTATGTCTAATCATTATGTCTCTGATGAAGTGGGGCTGACACCCACGAAATGCTGAAACCAACGTTCTAATTGAGGCCACACGCCAGGTTGTAGGTGGTCCTTATTCGTGAACCTTTCGGTTGTTTGAGTATTGGGCAGTTCGGGAGTTGGGTACAAAATTACAGTACCGAAGCAAGGTTCTGGGTGAAACATAAGAATGAACAACGTTATATCTGTCTGTAGCAATTTTGTAACAGTATCTTTGACCTAGTCCAGGGGTAGGCAACCTTTTAGCAGCACTGTGCCGAAATATGATTGTGATGTCCCGTAGTGTGTCGGTCCTATTTCTTTAAATTGAGGTGTGTATGTTGCCATATTCTGCTTGTGTTATTTATACTGCATTTGCTTTGTAACATTGTATTTGTGCGTATATGAGCTATTATATTGTATATGTTCATTAATAGTTTGTGGTATCATGTATAATATCTATGAATTTGGGCTGTGTATGGGGGCTGCTTGTGGAATTGTGTGTGGATGGATATGTCACATTGTGTATTTGGTAGTGGGAGGAATGTGTGGGGCTGTTTGGGGTATTGCATGTGAGAGGCTGCATGTAGGGTTGTGTGCATGTATGTGGATTGTTGGTGGTGTTGTGTTTGTGCGGACTGTGTGTGTTTGTATTATTTGTATGAGGGGAGGGTTATTCTGCAGCTCTGAGGCTTCCCTGGGTTTTAGTGGGGACCAGGCTGGCCAGGTACAGATCAAGGACAGAAGCTGCAACAGGAGGCTGTGGGCTGCTCTACTTCAGTGTGGATTCCTATTCACAAGTGCTGGGAGGATTGTCCTTCACCACCTATTTGTATTAGCAGATATCTGAAGTTTCACTGGGACTCCTGACAGGCCAGAGCCTGTTTGGCTCTTGTAGCCTTGAGTGCCGTGCAAAGGCACCTCGAGTGCCGTGCATGGCACTAGTGCCGTAGGTTGCCTACCCCTGACCTAGTCCAATAAAAAAATCATCATGTAGAAAAGAGGGTGAACAATTAAATATAAGACTATACTATTTTTTTCTAAATTAATAGGGAAACCAGACTTTGTGATTTTGCCACTATGATACATGTTTTGTATCTTGACATATGTATATGCATATATATTTGGGCTTTTGGGGATAACGCCTTATGTGAGTGAGCACCCCATATTGTATTTTCTTAGAGCTCCACTTGGGAGCTTGCATATATTTCATATTGAGTGTGCCTACCTTATTTAATTTTTAATTATATCTTGACATAAACAGTTTCTGAATGTCAATAATGCCATCAATTCAACTTCTTGAAATTCAAAGCATACAGTTTCATAGTTTGAAGCTCCAGTTCTGTGTTATTTTTTGATAATGTACTTTTAAGGCATTGACAAATGTGAAGTATACATTTGTGCCTTTTGGTGAGATTTGACTTGTGACTACTGTTTCTCCATTCCTATGAAGCTTGTCCATGTGCAGTTACATTGTCATTATTTTGGACATTGTTCATAGAAAAATTAAAAGATTTAGCAGTTTTTGCTATGAGTGTATCTGCTATATGGTCACTAACTATGTAGCCCATTCGAGGTGTGAAGTTATATTTTACAGTTTGAGAAATTACATATCACCGTGCTATTCGTCAGACCTCTATCATAAATGGCACATCCTTCTAAATGGTAACTATTATTAATCATGGCAGATATGCAAATGTTTTTATGTTCCAAAAGCACATGCTAAATAGACCATGAAGGGTTTTCAACCCAATTTTTTTTTAATTGTATCCGTTATGCAATGTTAATGATAAACATTGCCTTGTTCTATTGTTGAGAATTTTCTTGCAATAAACCTTTACATAACCCAAAGTGTATTAAATTAATTCCAATTAACAGCTTTTATGTGTTTTTTTGTAGCAGCTGAGCATAAGATTCCAACTATGTAAAAGTGCTCTAGGATAATAACTACAAATGCTCCACATCAACTAATAATGAATTATCTTTAATCGCTGCCTTTCTATTCTGCAGCAGAAAGTAATACTGCCAGTACAACGGTGCCCTCTTATCTTCTTGCAAAAGATAAATAACAAAAGGAAGGTATTCTCTCTTGGTCATGAATAAAAATACTATTTTTTGGTTAAAAAGGTTAAAATACTTAATGATGTAATAAATGAAACCTTGGCACTGGGACATTAAAAAGAAATATAAGAAATGAAAGGTTTTAAAAAAAAAAAAGTAAAACATTATCTTTGTTAATATTGTATACAAGGCTCAAAAGTTCTACCCACTAACCATTGGTGAATATTCAGCCTTAGTAAGTAGAAATGTACCCCTGGTGAGTGTGCTATGGACCTTGCAGAATTTCAGAATTGCAGTGGTAATTTTTAAACCTATCTATTAGTGTAGGGTTTGATATTTTGAGCCCTGACATTTTTATTTTCCATTTTTAGGCTAAAAAAGGCCAAACTGAAAATATAGCTGTTTAGGAAAATGTATCTTATGTAAAGTGTCTTTTAATTCATATTTTAGTATTAGTACCCCAAAATAAATCTTTGACAGTGCTTCTTAAAAATGCACATTGAATCAAATTGTAGAGATGCAATAAGAACTCGGATGATAAGCTGTATTGTACATGTGTAGGACCCCAAATGTCTCAAAACCACCATACCCTATCTTATACATTTGCAGATGGATCACTAGAATGTATAATAAGAATGTATGCATAAGCAAGTCAGACAACCATATTCTTATCCCAACAGGCAATAACAGCATGACATTATTCATCATTAAAACAAAATTGAAGTAGCACCACATCTTTGTTAAACTCAAGACAATTTACTGGTTTCTAGTCAAACATTATATTGCCTTCAACTTGAACTCTTGGTCACAGAAAACCCCTGCTGAGTAAATTTGATAATTGAGTGATAGTCAAGGATATAAATCACAACACAGTATTTTGAAAATTGATGCAGACAATTCAGTAAGTTCCAAATACCTCCCTTTACTACTCCTCTACAAAACAAATAAAACACAAATAGCATATGGATATACAAACTTGTGTGTAAATACAGACGTAATTGATTTTAATATTAATATAATGTAATAAATTAATTTAATAAAATATAATATAATATTTACTTAAATATTTTGCTAATCATTAGACAGATAGTAACTTCTCTAACTAGTAGTAGTCCCATGAGTGCATATAATATATACATTCATATAATATATACATTCTCCATTAAGCATCTGTCTTATAGCAGAGTTAGATAATCTCATTATAGATAGTATTCTTGCCTCTTCCAGTTATATACTTCTGAGAGTTGACATATCAGCTCTGACACATTTCAATGTATATCATCTTTCTCCCGACACACTCCATCACACCAGACCACAATGCATCACAGGCGTGTAGTTTATATTACCTATAATCAATTTAAGGTCTCAACATAGGCACTTCATGGTGAAGTGAGTACAAATATAAAAATACTATGTCAGTGCCACGTGGTGCAGGGCCAGTCCAATCTGGTCATTGGGCAAATGACCAGTGAGCCACGATGGTAATGGGCTGAGAGCGACAGTGAAGATCAAAGGATATCTCCTGGCAGCAGTGCAGACCAGATACACAGCCAGCCACAATGGGCCATAAGGGATTGGCAATGCTCTCTCCCTGCAAGGTAAAAGCAGGGATAGAGGAATAAATATTTCTCATATTTTTTTCCACTATTTTTCATTAAAGGAACACTGTAGGCACCATAACTGCTTCCCTTAGTTGAAAATCATATTGGCTGGACTCCCCTGGCACAGTTATTGCATTCAGCATTAAAACATTTTAAATTTTAAACAATAGACCCCAGAAGCCCATTTCCTTTGTTCTACTTGAGATAATGAAGAAGGCTGTGCAGCAATAGGCAGTTGCGATTGGCTGAGAGTGTCAGTTGACTACATTCCGCCTATCACAATGTCATTGCAGGTATGCATTGGTATGGCTACAAGGAAGTGTGTAACCTCTGCCTTAGCCACACCTGCAATAGGGGCAGAGATATGGGAAGCCAGGGAACCACATTCAGTGTTTAACTGCTTTAGACCCCAGGCATTCTAACATATTCAATGAGTTTAAATGCTTTAGTGCCCTTTAATTTTAATGTTTTAAATAATCATTGAATTGAAAATATTAAGTCAATTAATAAAGCTCTTATCCAAACCTCCAAACACATACTCTATATACAATGACACACACACACACACACACAATTCACACCCCCATACACTACTTCCTACACACACTATGTTTCCTATACACACACACTATGCTCCTATATACACACACACACTAAACCTTCTAGCCTCACAATATATCCGCATAACCATTCTATACCCCTGTATACAGATTAAAAATACCTCCTACATGTAAACACACATACAATCAGGGCCAGTGCAAGGATTTTTGACGACTCTCTTGTTGTGACATCACAATGTCATGACATCACATATGCCACATCCTTTTTTATTATATCTACAATAATCCAAAGATACTTGTATTCATATACTCACATTAATTAATACGCAATTTATTTCATTAGGGTATGCATTGGGAAAATCTTCCACTTTGTTATTTTATAATGTTATATAACGAGAATATTTCTTAAAATGTTGAGTGGATGTGGGGTGTGGGTGTGTTTCTTGTGTGACTGTATGTGTTGTAGCTACGTGTGAGGCATGTGTTGTGGCTTTCTGTGCATGATGTGTTAGGTTAGCTGTGTGTAATGTGTGTATAGCTGTGATTGATGTGTTTGGTTATGTGTAGGTAGCTGTGAGTGGTATCTATATATAGCTGTGTGAGTAGCTGTGAGTGATACATTTGGGCCGATGTGAGTGTTGTGTGTGGCAATGTGTGATATGTGGGATATACAGGTGGGAAATAGTTGAATTTCCATTTAGTACAAGATGGAGAGAGTCATGTTAGTGAGGGTTTAATGGCAGCAGTCAGAGATAGGGACTGTAGTAATGGGATAGTGGCTGTATTGGGGGGCAGGGGCTGTAGTGGGAGGGGTCAGGGCAG